TGTTTCCTTTTTTGTATTGAGTTTTTATAGTGTAACGTTTTAATTTCTTTAATGACTTCTAAACTAATGTTTTGGATTATTGTCTTAGTGTCACTCTAGAGCTTATACATATTAGCTTATCAAAATTCACTTCAGATTTATATCACCTTAATTCCAGTGAGTTAAAAAAACTTCATTTCTATTCCTTCTTTGTTTTCTGGTGCTATTACTATTATACACTATACATATATAACTTTTTTTGAGACAGGGTCTTGCTATGTTGCTCAGGCTGGAGTGCAGTGGTGCAGTTGGGGCTCACTGTAGCCTCAGTCTCCTGGGCTCAAGTGATCCTCCCACCTCAGTCTCCTAAGTGGCATAGGCATGTGCCACTATGCCTGGCTAATTTTTGTTTGTTTCTTTGAGGCAGAGTCTTGCTCTGTCTCCCAGGCTGGAGTGCAGTGGTGAGATCTCAGCTCATTGCAACATCTGTTTCCTCGGTTCAAGCAATTCTCCTCCCTCAGCTTCCCTAGTAGAGTAGCTGGGACTATACCATGCTAATTTTTTTTAATGGCTGGTTAATTTAAAAAATATTTTTTGTAGAGACAGGGTTTGTTTTGCCATGTTGTCTAGGCTGGTCTCAAACTCCTTAGCTCAGGCAGTCCACATGCCTTGGCCTCCCAAAGGCTAGGACTACAGGCGTGAGCCACCATGCCTGGCCTATATATAAGATATTAAAAAATATCTAACTGTATCTGTATTTTACTATTTCTGGTGGTTTTTTTTATTTTTTAATGAATTTGCATTACCATCTGATGTCATTTCCTTGCATTAATACAGTTTGCTCTTAACTACCTTCTTTGTGCTGTTATTGTCAAATGTATTACATGTCTATATGTTAAAGGCCCAACAATACAGCTATAGTATTTTTTTTCTTTTTAAAGACAGATCACCCTGTTGGTCAGGCTGGTCTTGAACTATTGACCTCAGGTGATCTGCCTGCCTTGGCCTCCAAAGTGTTTGGATTACAGGCATGAGCCACCATGCCTGGCCAACAGTTATAGTTTTATGCAATTGCTTATTTAATAGATTAAGAGAAGAAATATGCAAAACACCTATTTTTGAAAAATTTTTTGGGGAAATGGAGTTTCACTCTATCACCCAGGCTAAAGTACAGTTCCCGGGTTCAAACGATGCTTCTCAGCCTCCTGAGTGGCTGGGACTATAGGCCTGTGCCACCAAGCCCCACTAATTTTTGTATTTTTAGTAAAGATGGGGTTTTGCCACATTGACCAGGCTGGTCTTGAACTCCTGACCTCAGCTGATCCACCTACCTCAGTCTCCCAAAGTGCTGGAATTACAGGCGTGAGCCATCATGCCTGGCCTAAATTTAAATTTAGATAGCCACATGCTAGATAGCATGGCTAAGTGAGACTGACTACATATCTGAAGGCATTCACACCCTCGTGTATTTCACTTTCCAGTCTGGTTACCTATTCATTTATGGTTCCAAGAGTTTTCCTTACTCTTTGAGATTAACTGCATTTAAAGAATGTTCTATTTCATTGAGTGTTTTTTTTTTTGTAAGCTAGGGAGTTTTTGATATGCTTTAATTCACTGTATTGCCAGAATTAGAACATAGTCTGTGTATCTCCATTTTCCATTCCCTCTAATCCATTGTCTGCACGATCAAGCAACTCTTTTTTGTTCTTTTTCTTTTTTTTATTTATTCTTTTTCTTTAAAAAAGACAGGGTTTCCCCATGTTTGTCAGTCTGGTCTTGAACTCCCGACCTCAGGTAATCCACCCACCTTGGTCTCCAAAGTGCTTGGAATACAGGCGTGAGCCACCGCACCCGGCTGATCAAGCAGCTTTTCTAACATGCACATCTGTGCTTGGTGTACTCCTGATTTCAAGAGTTCCTTCCTGCCTTAGAATGCAGCCCAGGTTTGGCCTGGGCTTGGTGGCCCACGGGAACTCAGCTCTGCCTGTGTCCTCAGCTGTGCCTTTCATCAAATGGTCTCCTGTACTTAAATTCAAGCATAGCCAATATTTGTCACTCTGTACAGGGCCTGCTACTTTATGCCTTAGGCCCTTTGTCCATCTTGGTCCTGACTGCTCTCCAGCTCTACCTCCAATCTGCTCCCCAGCACCTGCTGAGTTTTCAAAACAGCACTCTTGTCTTGCCCTCTGTGAAGGCTTTGCTGCCCCACTCCTGTTTTGTATCTCTTCTGGACCTTGAATTTGGTCATAATATTCATAATACTTTATTGTGCTTAATTGCTTATATGTCTATGTCCCTCCTAATAAAGAACTTGGTTTATCTTTTGTTGTTTTGTTTTGTTTTGTTTTGAGACAGGGCAGGGTGTGGGCTGAGGAGTGGGAGGGCGCTCTTCCCTGGCTCTCAGAAGTCCAGCTCTTCCTTCATCAGCTACTTCCTTTTTTTTTGAGATACAGTTTCACTGTGTCACTCAGGCTGGAGTGCAATGGCGTGACCTCGGCTCACTGCCACCTCCACCTCCAAGGTTCAAGTGATTCTCTTGCCTCTGCCTTCCCGAGTAGCTGGGATTACAGGTGCATGCCACCATGCCTGGCTAATTTTTGTGTTGTTAGTAGAGTGGGGTCTCACCGTGTTGGCCAGGCTGGTCTCAAAGTCCTGACCTCAAGTGATCTTCCTGCCTCTGCTTCCCAAATTGCTGGGATAACAGGCATGAGCCACTTCACCCCACCAGCTGCCTCCTTCTTCCACCACTTTGCTTACTTGTACAGGAGGCCTGAGCCTGATTCTGTGTGAGCTGCCAGCTGGTGTTTTCCCTGAAGGGACTGGGAAACTGCCATAATCACCCCCATTAGCAGTTGGCAGACCCCCAACAAGACCATTTTTTGACCTGGACTGGCTTAGCTCTGATAACTCTTGGCCTGCTGTGTTGCTTGCCATGAGTGGTGGCTGCACCCGCTAGACCATTCAATCCCCACCCAGCTCCATGTGGGTGGACCCTGGCCCCAACTGGCACCCTGGATGTCTCACACCGTAAGCCTGTGAAGACCAGCTCCAAGAATCAGTGCTCCTAATCATGGCAGCTTTGCTCCCCAGCACTTACCAAAGTGCAATGCTGGTGGGAGAGTAGAACTCAGAATCCAGCCAGAAAACAGCCATTAGTGGCCCCTGCTATGAGTGGACATTCCCTGGGAAGCTAAGGCTAAGTGGAATGATGATCACATGGAAACCTTTAACTGAGCATGGACTCCTAGCCAGGGACTGGCTCTGTCATCGAAGAGAGATTACACACAGGATCTCTCTTCATACAGCAACCCGTTAAGGTAGGGGTGGGGTCTTTTTTATAGATCAGCTTTGTGAGGTGAAATATCCAGGATAAGACCACAAAGGTGTTAAGTGGCACAGCTGGGACAGCGGCCCCAGAGCTCCTCCTGCCTTCACCACCATGCCTGCTTTCCAAAGGTTGTGTGTTCAGGAGAGGTAGAAATGGTGCAGGTTCTAAATTGTATATCTACCAGGGATTGGCTGTGCAGACTCTGGGGAACTGGAAAAGGCAGATTTGCCTGAAACTGACCCTCATTCAAGAGGTGGATTTAGAAGCGGCTCTGACTAAGCCCTGCAGCTCCACTGCATGTGCTCCCTCACACTGCATAGTGTTGTCATGCTGCAAGTTGTTACCTAGGGAAGATGAGCCCACAGCAACACTTCAAAGGTCATGAAATTAGGGAGGACACAGGCCACCCAAAGGGTGTGGAGGCCAACAGGCCAGGCAGGCTTCCTGGTCTCCTTTCATGCAGCTGGGAATGGAATGTCTCCATTATTGGTGAGCCTCAGATTGTTTTTCAGCCCGAACTGCTCTAGTCATTTCCTTCTCCCTTAAATCCCCAAAGGCAGCACTCTACCTTCTGCCTTCCAGAGCTGCTGCATGGACATCCAGACCCAGCCATGGATGAGTCCTTGGGTGAGCTGCTGTGCCCTTTCTCCTGAAGCTTTCTACGGAGGGTTACCACCTACATTTCTTCCTTGGTGTCTCTGTCTACCGTGACTGGCTGTAACCCTCACCATCATCCCTTTGGAGTGCCCACACTTCTAAATGTCCCTTTATTTTCCTCTCTGCTAGAGGCTAGACACATCTTCCTATTATGTCCCATTCTGCTTTTAAAACATTTGAGAAGCCCGCTGGGTGGATACCACTAGCCTCTCCTCCTAGGCAGGGTGTTTCTCCATCCTCTGGGTCATCCCTGAGATGGCTCGTGACCCCAGTGCTGGGCATACAGATGTTTAGGACTGTAGGTGTGGGACTGCTGCCTGGCCCTTTTTGCCAACATGGCCTTTCTCCTCCACCGGGGTTTAGTGCCTTAGGGAGAGGTGGATAGGCCCCGGGGAGGGCAGTGGATGGAGGGTGGAGGGAAGCTGCCTTTTGCCTATGTCAGAGCTGAGAAGGCCAGGGGCAAAGCCCGCCCAGTTGCCTGAGTCCATAGCTTGGGGGCACCGAAGCCATCTAGGCACTGGGGCCCTGGGGTGCAGTTGGTGGGATTCCCAGCCACTTCCTTAGGAGTCCGCGCTCCCTCAGAGTCCAAGGTGGGTCGTCTAGCTCTGGCGGCCGCCCACACCTCCTCCACTTCCTCAGGGCTCCCCACCGGACTCTAAAGCTCAGCACCTCTGCCCCTTTTCCTGCTGATACAGCGTGCAGCGCTTTCCCCTCCTCTGGTCTCGCCGCCTCCTCTCCCCCTCGAATCCAGTCCTGGTTTCCCCGCCGCCAGCCTCCCTCCCTCCTGGCAGGCTCGCTTCCCACCCTGCCCACCATCACCGCGGTCTGCTCCGCTCCGCGCCTGTCCCAGCTCCCACCCCGCTCGGTCCAGCTCGCCCAGTCCAGTGTCTCCAGTCCGGATCTCGCCGCCGCCCGGCCCAGGTGCGAGTCCCCACCACGGGGGAGGGGGCGGGCCCTGCTTCCCTCGGCTGCCTCGCCCACCCGGAGTTGTCGGGGAGGGAGCAGCTGGGGGACCTCCGGAGCCGCTCGGAGGACAATGCGACCAGCGCTCAGCCACCCTCGCTCGGTCTCCTCCGCGCCGGGCCCCTTCCCGCCACCCCCTGCCACCGCCCGGCTGCAGCCGCTCTTCCTCCGCGGGGGCTCCTTTCGTGGCCAGAGAGGCTCCGGCGACAGTAACACCAGCACCAGCGCCAGCCACGGGGAAGGCAGCAGCAGACGCAGCCAGGGCGGCGGCTCCCCGAGCAGCAGCACTGGAGCTGAGCGTGAGGAGGAACACGGGAGCCTGAGCGTCAGCAAGCCACTGGTGCCCAACGCAGCGCTCCCGGGGCTGCCAGCTCAGGGGGGCGCCCCTGTTGTCCCCGCACCGGCCGCCTTCTCCTCCTCCTCCGACACCTCCTCCTCCAGCTCCACGCCCATCTCCTACTGCAGCATGACCGCCGCGGACTTCCGCGGGGACACCGCGGCCAGGGCCGTCGAGGACCCAAGGAGCCGCTCGGCGGGGGGCGCGGGCGGCGACGGGTCGGGCAGCGGAGCCTCCTGCTGTTCTTGTTGCTGCTGCTGCTGCGGCCGTCCGGCCTGGCCCGGCCGCAGGAATCGGCGCCGCGGCTGCGCCCGAGTCCCGGGTGCCGCGGCTACCAGGCGCTGTCCGTAGTGCTGCTGCTGGCGCAGGGCAGCCTGCTGGACCTGTATCTCATCGCCGTCACCGACCTGTACTGGTGCTCCTGGATCGTAACGGACCTGCTGGTGGTGGTGGGCTGGGCCAACTTCTTCGCCAAGAACAGCCAGGGCTGTCAGGTCAGTGCGGCCAGCAGCGCGCATCACCCGCACCACCACCATGCCACACCGCCCCTGCGCTTGCCTGCCCCCTTGGCCGCCTCCTCCAGGGCCAAGGTGTGTGGACCGGGGGGGGGGGCGCGGCGGCGCGGGGGGCGGCCTGGGGGTGGCCGCGACAGTGAGCGAGTTCGCCTTCACCTACCCGGCCCGGCTTATCTATTTCATAGCCTTCAAGCCCAAGGTGGTGCTGATCCTGGGCACGTCCATCCTAGAGCTGCACCCTTCCTTCGGCACCATGGGCTTCTGCCTCACCATGGTGCTGTTGGTGCCCCTGCTCTACAGCTTTGTGTGGGTGGGCCATCAGCGAGGCGGGCGCACTGCCCGGCTTGGCCGGACCCCTGCTGCTGCAGCCCCAGTGGCACCTTGCAGCCTGATGCTTCCTGGGCACGTGCCTGGAGCTGCTCAGCAGCTTCACGTTGGTGGAGCTGATGCTGGTAGGTCTGCGTGCAGTTGCCCGCTCACCTGCGCTACCTGCTCATCGCCGTCTACTTCCTTACCCTCGCCTTGCCAGTGCTCTGGCTCTATGAGCTCAACGCTGCTGCCGCAGCAGCGGCATCCGGGGGCCAGGCCTCTGGTCCGGCAGCTGCTGCCTCCTTCTGCGCCTGCTGGGCGGCTGCCTGGTGGACGTGCCCTTGCTGGCGCTGTGCTGCCTCCTGGTGGTCAGCTACCAGCAGCCCCTCTCCATCTTCATGTTCAAGAACCTTTTTGTTCTCAGCTGCCAAGGCCTGGAGGCACTGGGGGGGCTGCTGGGACTGGGGCAGTTGGGTCTCTCCGAGTCAGGCCAGAGGGGGCTATGGTGCTCTGCCCTCCGCCCCTCCACCGCCTCCACCACCACCTCAGGGAGGCTCCCAGCTGGCCATTGCATTTCGGAGAATGACGGGGGTGCCCATGGCTATGTCAACACCCTGGCTGTGACCTCCTAGAATTGAGGGTGAAGGCATGGGTCCCTGGTTTTGGGTTGAGAGTCCCCAACTCCCTTATCTTTTACCTTCTGTCACCCAGATTTGATCAGGCTCTGTTGGAAGAGGTAACCCTTTTTAAGGCTGAAGTCCAGGGTGTCCTTCTGCACCCCTGGGGTGAGGACCGCTTGGAGGGAGACCAGCAGTTAATGGTGAGGGAGCTAGGCGCACTTACTGTCTTTCTTCTATCCTACTCCTATCCTGACCTAGGAGCTGGTAGCTCTGCTTCTTTCTTTGCCCACCTTCACTCTAATTGCCATCCATCAGGAGGAGAGAAGTGCTCAGCCTTGGGTCTTCTTCCTGACTTAGAAGTGCCGGCCTCTTTCAGGCTGTGGTTGATTGTCCCATGCCTTGACCCAGAACCCACTTTCCACTGATGTGTCTATTTGATTTCTTCTGGGTGATAGATGCAAAGTGTATGTATCTCTGTGTGTGTAGTGTTGTTTTCTTGCACCCACCCTGTGACTCTTTGCAATGGGTAGGACATCTGGGGAGGCCCTGCCCCTTATACCTTACTTACCACCACCCTCCTCTTTTCTGCCTGGATTTGTGACCATAAATTCCCAGGAAGAGCTGGGCCCCTGGGAGCTGCCCAGGTACTCCCTTTGAAGGAAGAAGCTCTCCCAGGATCTTCCTCAATCCTGCTCCTCTCTTCTTAGCTCAGAGGGAGGAGGGGATCCATTCTCTAAGGACCAAACTGTGCCCTTTCTTGGGTGAGTGAGCATTTCTACCTCCATGCTTTCAACTTTTGTTGCATCATGCACTGATGCTGCTTGCAAAAAATGAGACAAAATACTCAGAAGTTGCATTCTCCATGGCCACTGGCTCCAGTTGGGTGCCAGTGTTATTACAGGGTCTGTGAGTATCAGCCATTGGCTTGGCCTCCCACTCTTCTTCCCTCTGCACCTAGAACTCTTATCCTTCCTGTGGTTTGGTGCCGACTAGGTCAGATCTGGGTTTAGAGCAATAGCTTTGGTGGGGTTCCTAGATGGACATGAAGTTGACCCTCCCATAGGCCCAGGAGAGCAGGAAGCCCCATTCCACACTTGTCCTTCCTCTAGGAAGTGTAGATCAGAAAGTGAGGTGGTGACCTCCTGCCTCTGGTCTGACCGAGTCTCACTAGGGCCAAGGCAGCCTGCAGCACTTTCCCTCCTAGATTCCTCTCATTGAGGGTGATGACAAGAGACATCTGGGGGCTCAGAGTCTTGGTGTGGAATTTCACTCCTGCAATCTTTGAGGCAGGATAAGTATTTTTACATATTTTAAGGGTGCAGGAGCACAGCAGGGAACAAGGCCAGAAAATACTTCCATCCTCAACAGGACACAATATGGGGGTGAAGCTTGCAGAATATTTTTTTTATAAGATGGGGGCTTCATTATGTTGGTCAGGCTGGTCTTGAACTCCCAACCTCAGGTGATCCACCCACCTTGGCCTCCAAAGTCCTTGGTTTATAGGCATGAGCCACCATGCTTGACCGCTTGCAGAATTTTTATTTCCCCTTCTCCCTTCTTATGTTTGGGAAGTTTTATGTGGTGTAATAAACCCTAGGTGAATTAATGGAAGATGTTATTCTAATTCTGATTGTGTCACTCACTGGCTTTGAGTGACATATTGTTTTTATTTTCTAGGCCTGTTTTCTATTATAAAAGTAGAAGTTAGATGAGTGATCTCTAAGTTTGAAGGTAATTCCAACTCTCAGTTTTTGAGTTTGTGGCTCTTGAAAACCCTAGTCCTGATGCTCCCTGTACAGGTGGCCAGGAGAGAAGCCAGCCAGGCTGCAGCAGCAGAACATTCCCTGCTCTGCATTGGGTGGACAAAGCTCCAGCAGAGGCCAGAGGGAGAGCTTGGGCTTCTGGGCTGGGTGTGAGGCAAGACTGGCACAGCTGAAGTGTCCACAGCACCACCCACAGAGAGGGCCAGAAGTGCCAAATCACTGGACATGAACTCAGCACTCATCAAGCCCCCACCTCCTGCTTGAAGCGCACCTCCCAACCACTTGGGGGCTTGAAACAGAGACACCCTGTAGACAGATGTAAGAGGGGCTGAGGGCTTGACCAGAGTTCTCTTGAGCCTCCTCATGCTCCCAGAGCAGGGAAGGGTGGGAGAAAATGTTTACACTTGATCCACGATCTGTGCTTCCAGTTCCTCACCCTATGTGACCCAAAAGCTGCCCGGATTTCACATTTAGTTTGTTTCTGCCTTCTTCCTCCACCCCCACTGATGTCTCTTCCCTTCCTTTCATTGGACTTGAGCTTCTGGGGCCTGGGCCCTGGGTTGCTACCAACAGCTGCTCCCTGTTCCCATGTCCTCTCTCCAGCTTTTCTGTTTCTCTCTTATACCTAATCTCAGTAACTGTGAAAGGACATTGTGTCTGAGACATGGCTGGCCACTGGCCAGCCCCCTGACCTCCACCTTTCTGTTGTTTAGATGGCCATCTCCTGTCTGGTCTCCCTGGTTGTAAAATCTCTGTACTGTTAGATTTTGGTGGGAGGCTGTGATAAGTTCCAACGAGTTGCCACTTCCCTGGATATGCCAAGAGGTTGATGGCAACTAGCCCAATTCTGGCAGAGACCAGGCATGCAACTCAGCCCCAGTCACCCTGTTTTACACATGTGGGTCAAGCACTATGCGCTCAGAGGGTCAGGCCCTTGCACTCACCTCCCTTGCCCCATTCATTCTGACCCTTGAAGCTTCCTTTCCCTTGCTTTCTAGCACATCACTGGTGCAGGGGCAAACCTGAGATTTCCCCATGGGCTTGACAGCCAAGGAGGTTCCCTGTCTCCCGAGGCCAATGCCAGCACATACATCATTCATAGCGGGACCCTGGGCTCAGAATCATGAGAATTGCCTGCTCCTAATGTTTCTGCCAGTCAGAGTATTCCTCTCTAAGTTCCCAAATCCTTACTTATTTAAAAAAGACTAGACCTTCTCTAAAGACTGTTCCATTTTAACATGCCCTGATTCTGCATCTGTGGGTTTGTGAGAGAGATAGCTGGCGGTGAGAGCCTGGAGGAAGGAGGGAAGTGGCACCTCACTAGCATTTATCACTTTTTCCCTTTTCTTTTTAAAGTAAACCCAGACTCTCTTCTGAAAATAAAAAAAACTTGAGACTTGTGACAAGCTTCCTGTGTGGTTTAACATCTTTTCTGTCTTGATTTCCTTATGAAGTTTTTAAATGTCACGGTGACATTCTCCATTATTTTATAGGTTTGTGTTAACATTATGGGAACATCTTGGTCCTTTCCTTCTAGGCATTGGCATATGGCTCAGGGGACCAGTGAGGCTGTGGCCTGGGGCAGGTGAGTATCTGACAGGGTTTGTTGGCACAGCCAGCTCAGCTCAGCTTTAATGGAGTCAGTCTGAGAGTGATTTTTCTTATCACCCTGGGCTCTCTCTCCCACTTTTCTTTCTTTCCTTCCTTCTTTCTTTTTCTTTCTTTCTGAGCTAGGGTCTTACTCTGTCACCCAGGCTGGAGTGCAGTGGTGCCATCATAGTTCACTGCAGCCTCGAATTCTTGTGCTCAAGCAATCCTCCTGTCTCAACTTCCCAAGTAGATGGGACTACCGGTGTGTGCCACCATGCTCAGCTTCTCATTTCTTTCTAAGATTAGCTTTCCAAAGAGGAACATCTTGAGAAACTAATTTTTAAATACTGTGCCTTCCTCTATCACTCTTGTCCCATCCAGAAGCACATATTCTTACATATGAATAAGAGAAACAAGGCCATGTGTTTTTGTTTGGCTTTATTTTAACACAAAGGATAGTATTAAGTCTAAAGGTTGGGTCTGCATCTAAATAAACACACTGAGGTTTTCTTAGTACACAGGCAGCCTGTATTATACAGATCCTAGCTTGCTGCTTCTGGCTGTGCCAAAGGCGATGCAGGACTTTGACTCAGGAGATCCTGGGAGGTAAGAGTAGATGCTCCTGGGAGCCTGAGCTCTCTCTGCCTCTCGTGAGTTGTGGCTTTGCCTGTCATCTGGCCTCCTGGAACTTCATTATTTATAAAGCAAGAGCAACCACAGAAGACACATGGGAAATGGTCTTTTCCCCTGTGACACGTATAATTGCAACAAGGAACAGAATGTACATACAAAATCATTACAGAACAACGTAGAAACATATCTTCATTTCTCCCGGAAGTAAATGTAAAATAATATGATTGCTTTGACCAAGTATGTTATGAATATTTAGAAATGTCTTCTAGGGAAGCAAGCTGGCCCTGACCGATTTTGGTTTGCCAGGCATATCAGAAGTCAGTTTGTGACAAGTGGAGAAGGGCACAGAGTGACTTGTTCATGCTTAGGGAAGGCCCACCCCACCCCACACCTGGGCCTTGAGGCGTATGCCTGAGCAGTGGCCCTAAGAAAGAACAAAATAACGCAGCCTGTGGTTGACTGTGGGGCCCTCTGCACATCAGCCCCGTCCCTCCTCACAGCCACCTTCAGGGCTGCTTTCTATTTTCCTGAGGCCCCAAGAGGGGAGGTAGCTTGCACAATGTGGCACTGCAGTCAGGAGGAGCCAGTGCACACTCCCACATCTGTGCTCCAGGCAGCATGCAGTGATCGGCAGCTGCTTGGGTCCAGCTTTTTTTCCATGAAAGCTCAGCCATTCTAGTAAAAAAGCAGGGGCTGATGTCACCTTCTGTGAAGATCTTATGGAACTTGTGGGCAGAGGAGGCCACTGGGACACCCATGCCAGGGAGCAGGCAAGCACAAGGGCCAGTCACATGCACTCTCCTTTCCACTTCCTCTCCTCCTGCTACCTGTCACCATGTTCCTTTTTCCTGTCTCATCAGAGAGGAAGGATCTGGTGAGCAAACTCATCCTACAGCCAATGACCTAAGAGGCTATTCCTCCTGGGAAGGACTCCAGGGTGAGGTGGGCTGGGCCAGGCTCCCTGGCACCCTTGAAATCAGGAGACAGGGAATGGGTGTTCCTCTCACAGGCAAGGCTGGCTCACCT